CGGCCTCTGGGGGTCAGAGGGGACCCCCCCTGAGTCCGGGGGGGGGGCAGGTCCTCCAGAGGGGCAGCAACACCTCGAGGGAGCCAGGCCAGGCCACCCGAACCTCTTGGGCGCCCTTCTCCCTGCAGCCAGCAGGAGGCGCTTCTCTCCAGGGAACCCAGAGAATCAAGCTGAGCCGACCCCCCCCCCCCCCCCCCCCCCCCCCCCCACCAGCTCCTTGGAGGAGACCCCACCTCACCCCCCATCCATAAGTGCCCAAAGCGGACTGGTCCCACATGGGCTTCCTCTGCCTGGCCAGGTGCCCCCTTCCCTTCCGCACGGGTCCCCTCCCCGTCCCGCCCAGAAGTGCTTCCACCCTGGGCCAGCCTCCAGAGCACAACTGGCTCCCCCCCCCGGGAGGGCTGGAAGGTCTGGCCAGCCAAGCGAGGCCTCTCTGGGCCCCAGGCCGCAAGCGCCCCCCGCCCCCCACTCCTGGCACCAGGGACTCTGCCCTGGCCCCAGCCGTCCTGGGCCTCTGGCCATTGGGGTCATTCCTGCCACCAAGCGTGGCTGGGCAACCCTCCGAGCCAGGGGCTCCGGCAGACCCCACCCCGGAACACAGCAAGTCCTGCCCAGGGTGCCTGTTCGAAGGGGTCTCTGGCTGGCTGGGCCCAGCGGGCAATTTGCCGGCCGCTGGTTGCAAGCCAAGGCTTCTTCCTCTCTGCCAAGGCGTTAAGCAGCTGCAGATCCCTCTTGTTAACTCTGCACGTGGACAGAGGACCAGGCGGCAGCTGGCAAAGGGCCAGAGGGGCCCAGGGTTACATCAACAGTAAGTGGAAGCTGACACCTGTCCCAGCCTGAGCCCAAACGGGAAAACAACTCTCTCAGGATCCAGCCCCTTCTTGGGCGGGTGGGGGGCACAGAGGGAGCCCGGTTTCCTGGCAGGTGGGAGCCCGAGGGCTCTTTGCCGCTTGGTGGCCCCCAACCCGGGCCAGGGGGAGGGGGCTGAAGGAATTGGCCCCCAGCCCCCTCCAACATGACCTGCCCGGGAGGAGCCGGAGAGCAGGGGGGCACCACAGCCAGAGCCTCTGCCGGGCACCCCAGGGGCGGGCAGAGTCCGCAGCCCTGCCCGGTCCTCGGCCAGAACAAGGAGGCCTCCCTCGCCGGGAACCCTCCGAATGGCACCGCCGAAGACGACGCCTTCCCGGCCTCCGCCTGGGCCAGAGCCGGTCCCGCCGGCGGCTCTTGACCTGCAGGGCCAGCTGGGCTCCAGCCAAGGCTGCCGGCCGCGGGGTCCTTCGGGGGCCGTGCGGGAGCCCCGCCGCCAGCGCCAGGCCAGGCCGCAGGGGAGCCGCCCGTGGCCCGGAGGAACCTCCGGCGGCCCCGAGCGGCCCCGGGCCGAGTACAGGAAGCCGGCGGACTTTGGCGGTTCCCCCGCAGCTCCTCAGAGAGCCCGCCCGGCCCCGGAGCCTCCCGGCGGGCAACGCAGCCGCGCCTCCCTCTCGCCCACGGGGACTCCGAGGCGGCCGAAGTGCAGCGGGGGAGCGGAGCCCTTCCTCGCCCGTCCCGGCGGCTGCCTCCCGTCCGCCGACCCCCGCCCCGCGCTGCCTCGGGCGGCCGGAGGGAGGGAGGGAGGAAGGGGGCGGGCGGGCCGGGGCTCACCTTGAAGACCTCGGAGAAGAAGCCGGCGCCGATCTTCTCGCAGTAGAAGTCGTCGAGGCGCGCCAGAGTGGAGACTGCGCTGCGCAGCGCCCGGTAGGAGGAAGGCCGCAGCCGGCCGCCCGCCTGCCAGCCCCCCGGGCCCGGCGCCTCCCCCTCGGCCTCGTCCAGCCGCAGGGAGAGCCCGGGCCGCCGCGGCAGCTTCTCCCGCTCCATGCTCGGAGCGCCCCAAGGCCATGCGCGGGGGCGGGCGGGGGGCCGGGCGGGGGCCGCGGGAGGGCAGCCTGCGCCCCCGGACGCCGCGGGCTTCGGCCTCCGGAGAGCTCGGCTGCTCTGCGGCCCGTCGGAGGCGGAGCCGCGGCGGGCGGAGCGACTCTTAACTCCTCGGCTGCCGCGGCTGGAGCGGAGCGCGGCGGCGCCTGACAGCGCCCGGCGTCCCGGGGGCGGTCGGGAGGCGCGGCCCGGCTCAGCCTGCGCCCGCCCCGCGCTCCGAGGCCCAAGGAGGCTGCAGCCGGGCCCGGCCCGCCCGGTCGCTTGGGCGCGGCGCTAACCCGGGAGGTGGAGGACCTGGGGCCGCGCGCCCTCCAGATGTTGGGCCTCGGGAGCGGAGCCCAGCGCATCGGGAGAGCCGCCCGATCCGCGGAGGAGGCGGGAAAGAGCTGAGTAAGGCCCCGGCCCCTTCGGGAAGTCTCCGCGTTTCCCGCCCACCCCGTCCGTAAGGACCGCAACAACTGCCAGGCTGCCCCCCCACCCGGTGAATGGAGCGGCCGGAGAGGCGGCTGTTTTCCCCCAGATGCAAACCTTCCGCCGGGGCGACTCCAGGAGTGGAGCAGGTGTGTTTGTTCACCTGTGGAACTGCCGCTCCAGGTGTGCTGATGGGAAATGCCCGCGGTTCCATGCTGGAGGGCCAAAGGTCTCGGGTGATGGAGTGGGAGCGAGGGGGCTCTTGCCCCCATTTGGGGGTCTCTATTGCGTACTGTTTTTTCATTGAACTACTTGGCCAGAGCTCTGAGGTGAAGGTTTCCCACCACCAGGAACAAAGCCAACCATCCTCGCCTCAGCCATACGACCCCCTGGCTCCTCTCTGAGCGGTTGAGTAGAATGGAGCCCCCCTAAATTGGGACCTCCAGGTACCAATCTCTGCAGGTGGGCCTGGCTGAGGGACTCAGAGAATCCCAGAGAAGCTCATCCCCCAGGGGGACCTTCCCACCCTGGGCTCTTCTCTGAGGAGAGGTGCAGATTTCAACCTCGGGGAGTGAAGTTCACGCCTCAGGTGGATGTCACACACACACACACACACACACACACACACACACAAAGGGTTGTTTCAACAGGCTCAGACCAATCCCAGGAGAGGTGACATGGCCCCGGTCAGCAGGGTGGGCAGGGTGTGCCTGTCTTCAAAGGCCCCGAGGAGAGCAAAGTTAGCCCCCTTTCTGGGGTTTGAGGCAGCAGAGGCGCCCCAGAAGCGTTTACTTATCCAGGCTGTTGGTGCCTCGACTTGCGCTGTGTTTACCTGGGAGCAGATGCGAATGCTGGGCATGATCCTTGCCATGGACAGATTGCTGGTGCAGAACCAGGCAAATTAAGTGGAGCCACCAGCTCTGCGGAGAGGATTCAGCTGCCAGGCACCCCAGGCATCCAGGTGTGCCCAAGTGGTGCCCAGGGAGTTTCTCAGCAGCCTGGGAGGACAGCTTGGATGAACCCCCCCAGCAGCTCCAGGATATGAAGTGGGCGATGAACCACTTACGCTGGCAGATGACCACGCGTGGCCTGCTCAAACTGGCCCAAGAAAGCATGCACCCACGGAAACTCCGCTCTGCTCCGTGGCACCGGCAGTGGTGAAATTGCCCTTATTGCAGCTGCCGAAGGTCAAGCGGATGTCTGTCCTTGGAAGGGGTAGAGCAGACGGTCTTGTGAGCACAATTATGGCCCTCTGGCTAACGAGGCCCGCAAGGAAATGCCACCCAGTGGAGCCCAGGAAGACTGAATCCAGGGAAGGACGGAGAGGTCACCAGAGGTGGCCGCTTGCATCCTGGCCATCTCATTACTAGATCTTTATATCTATCTATCTATCTATCTATCTATCTATCTATCTATCTATCTATCTATCTATCTTTATATATCTCTTTATATTATGTATATATCTTTATATATATATCTTTATATATGTTTTCTTAAAGATATATATGTATATGTGTGTGTGTGTGTGTATGTATGTATGTATATCTATCTATCTATCTATCTATCTATCTAGCTATCTATCTATATCTCTGGGAACACTATACAGAACAGATGAACACTATACAGAAGCCTGATGATGGCAGATGAGATTCTGCGGAAACGTTGCTACAACCTTAAAAGCACAACTACAATGACGTGGGAAAATACCCGAACAAAGCTGAATGCCATACATATATATGCCATACATACATATATTATTTTTATCACAACAACAAAAAACAAACATAAAATCTTTCTGTTCCACAGTCTGTCAGTTGGGTACGTATCTCTTCATGCACAAAATAATATTATCATACTATCATATTTAACTTGTACATATTTTATAGTCATTCTTATTAATATTTTATATCACATATATCACTTACTCTATTATCCTTGGTTTTATAATGATTAACTTTCAATAATATATTTCAAGTTCATTTTCTTGCTCTAACTCATCTATTTATCAGTAACAATATATTATACTATGCTTATATAATTTAATTCTTTACTCTTCTATCCAATCATTCATAAAATTAATTCCAAATTTTATAATAGTCTTTTTCTTCTTGTTCTCTAATTGCCATTGTCAATCTACTCATTTCTGCACAATCAATTATTTTCTTAATTATTTCCTGTTCCATCGGAATTTTTTCATTTCTCCAATTTTGTGCAAATACAATCCTATCTGCTGTTAATATATTAATAATCAAATACGTTAACTCTTTGTTGTAACCATCAGGCAGAATTTCCAATAAAAATGTCTGGTTTTAAATCTATAGGTTGCTTTATCATCTTCTCCAGCCACATCTGTATTTTAGTCCAATACTTTTTAGTCCCCATGCATTTCCACCACATGTGGTAATATGATCGGTATTTTCAAATAATGGTAGTCTCTTATTTTTTCCCGTACTGTTAATAAAGCATCTCTAATGTAATGTCTCCTAAAATAACCATGTGCCTTACTTTCTTTATACCATAAAAATGCATGCCAACCCAATTGTAAATCATGCCCTTCTAACGTTAGTAATCTGGCATTTTTCAATACAATCCATTCCTTCATCCACATCAATATTGTTGCCTGATAATATAATTCCCAATAAGGTAATCCAAAACCCCCTCTCAGCTTTGCATCCTGTAACAATTTTAATTCTTGCCTCTTCCCCCTGTCAAATAAATTTCATCATCATTTTATTTAAGTCTTCAGAATATTTTTTTTCACTCTTATTGGAATCGTTTGAAATAGATACAGTATTTTTGGCAGTATGTTCATTTTAATTGTCTCTATTCTACCTATTAAAGATAGTTGTAGATTTTTCCATTTTTCTAGATCTACCGCAATCTGTTGTAATAATCTGTCGTAATCTGTCGTTACTAGATCTTTAGGAGTCACTCTACTGGGGGCGGCCCTTGAAATGCACCCGGAAATTTTGGCTGATGCCAGAAGACAGGAAGCAGCCTTGGACCAGGCCCTCTGGGGGCTGCCCTGGTCACCAGGGCGTCCCTTGGCGCGATCCCAGGTGCTGGTCGAGGCCCTGGACGCCTTCCAGATCCAGACTGCCTTTGCCAGCGAGACCCGGCTGATCCCTCCTTCCGTGTCATGCCCCCCCCGGCCCCCCCAGGAGCTGCCTTCCTTTCTTGAAGCCTCCCAAAACCTTGCCCTCTCGGTTGCAGCCACGGCCAATTCCCTCGTCCTTCCTATGCCCAACTTACCAGCCGTTCTCCACGTTCAACTTCGCACCCGTGTCCCCTGCAACACCTTCTCAACCCCCCCCCACCTTCAGAGCCCCCTCCTCCTCCTCCTCGTTGTTTCTGGCGGTTTAGCATTTTTAAAAAAAATAATCCAGATTCTCAACTGACAACACAGCATCACCTGCGTTCAGGATGAATCGCTAAGCAAAACAAAATACCAAAGGATTCATGAGCTCCCCTCCCCCACCCACCCCCCACCCCCACCCCCCACGCAGGGCTTTTTTACGCCAATCGAGGCTCAGTTCTCCGTAGTAAGGTTTCAAACAGAATAACCTTCCAGAGTTGGAAGGGACCTTGGAGGTCGAGCGAGAGACCCCAGACCATCTCAGGCAAGAGGCTGTCCGGTCTCTTCTTGAAAGCCTCCAGGGATGGAGCAGCCACCGGGTCTGGTGGCAAGCAGTTCCACTGATGTAATGCTCCTCCCTGTCAGGAAATTCCTCCTCAGTTCCTAGGTTGCTTCTCTCCTTGGTGAGTTTGGTTCTTGTCCTGCCTTCGGGGGCTTTGGAGGATGGGTTGCCCCCCCTTCTTTGGGGCGGAGTAAGAAGACCTCCTAGGTCGCCCCTGGGCCACATACTGCAGGCCCAGGAGGGGACGTTCCACTCCGTTTTAACAAGCGTCACAAGTGCAGCCAAGGCAGAATTTCATCAAGTCCAGGTAGTCCTCGCCTTACAACCTGCTGCTTAGTGGCCGTTTGAAGTTTCAGTAGACCTTCCCGGGGGACGCTTACTGACCTGGATTCGGTGTGGGGGCCACCTCCTCCCCCCTGCAATCTCGTGGGCACATTTTGGCTGCTCAGCAACCAGGCTGCATTCGTGGCTGTTGGAGCAGAGTCCCCTGCAATCAGACACGCGGGCATCTAGGGCGGACTTGCCAAGGGGCAGCGCTTCCTCCTGGTTTGCAGCCACAGGGACCCACCGCATCGAGGGATTTGCTCATCAGCTGCCCCCCAAAAGGACCTACAGCCACCTTGGCCACAGGACTGACCTGCTTAAGGCCCTCCTTAAGGCTCCACAGGTAAGGTGAGGACTACCTGACCCGCCCCCCCCTCGGTCCCATCCAAGCCAGGAGGTCGGGGGCAGCCGTTCCTTTCCAAGGCAGCAGGTGGCTGCCTGGAACCCCGAAGCCAAGAGGGAGTTGGGGAGGGGCTGGGGGGGTCTCAGATATTTGTCCCGGTGGCCCTCAGCCCACGAGCTCAGGGGCACCCAGCCTTCCTGCTGATGAGCGAGGCAGCTGCTCCGCGAATTTCA